AGCGAATGTGAAATTATAGCCTTAAGTTATGCTATCTTGCGGTTTAACGGGGCCTTCCAGCAAACTAGAGGACGTCCTGCAATCTTATCCAGGTACGAAGGTATTTTTTGGCATCCTTAATTCTTAATAAAATTCACTAGAAACCCTTTTGACTTAGAGTTTCATTCTTGAGCGTAAACACTCGTGCTACGTGCCTAACGCACTTCCGGCTCGTTCTTTTGATTACGATATTGTCAAAAATTGAATTGCGTTTTAAGTAAGTAGCTTCTATTGCCATATAGATAAAAAACTATGTAATTCCAAGAGAAATATATGGCTGAGATCTCCATCCAATTCTCTGTCGACTCCGCACTTAGAAAAAAGTAACTCAATTTTTTTTCTACAGGAGAGCGAAAGCCGAAATTTTGCAGCCGTCCCAATATTAGAGACTACAGATATGTAAGAATGAAAGACGTTGTATAACATTCATACGACGACTCTTTCTCCGACCCCCTTTTTCTCCCCCGACCATCTAAAACAGCCTTCCCCATTACAAACTGCTCACTCTATCAAGGTATGAACTAGCATATAGACCTTGGAGATTGTAGGATGGAAGAGCATTTGGTGCTTACTTATTTTCTAACTTCCTCTTCATTCATGCGTTCATCACCTTTGTATTTCGAAAATACAATTAAACATGCTTTTATACGTAACCTGTGATAAACGTTGCCCATGCCTTTGCTGTAGATGTGCGAGAATAAGCTGTTTGCAATCGAGTCGGATAGCAATATTCCAACCATCTGCAAATGTACGATTTCGATTTTGAGAAGGAAATTCAATTCTCTATTTCTATACCTTATCCCGCAAAACGCTAACATTCAAAAGTGCTGGGACATCGACATTCTCAGCTGGAGCTCCGTTGTAAAGGACTCCACCATCTATACCGAAAACCACATCCTAAAGAACTCTACATCAAGCAACTTTCAATTTTTCATGTTCTTGTCACCGACTTGAATTGAAAGAAGTTTTGCGAAATCTATGTTCCAAAAATGTGCAGCATTCCTAGTTAAGTTCTGTTGCTGTTTCAGGGTAAATTCAACTTTCCGCGGGTATAACTTTACCTCATCACTGAATCTTGGTGGATAAACAAGATCCAAATTCGCACTCCATGGATTTGGCCTTGTGGTTTCGGCTTCAACACTGGTCGGCGATGGTTCTGGATCGGTCTCTGGTTCTAATTTCTCCATCTAAAATGGAGAAATCCACAAGATTATACACTGTCTTCTCATCGAATTCCTAACCTCACAAAGGCTAGCACCGAATTCCGCTGGGTTGAACACATCTTCAACAGATTCTAAGCTTGTTTGAGTTGTGAAAGTGAAATTTGATGGTGG